TAAATAATTATCAATGAACTAGTTTGTGTCAGTAGTTATGCACCCACACAATCAATCAGTGCCTAAAAAGGTTATAAATCAATACAGTAAATGAATAAAAAACACATTTCTCAATTATGTTTATTGGAATACGATAAAAAAAAACAGACAAAGGTGCTGTAACTATACTCAATACATTAATAGTATGAACATTGAAACAGTCCAATACTTTATTAGGTTACAAAAATAATCACAATACATAGATTATTACTTACCAGATATAACGTAACTGTCACAATTAGTAATTACTAAATCATAAAAATATTATCTATCAAATTATTACATGGAAATAAAACTACATCAACACATTAATTTTAAAAAAAGTACACAAGGAATTGCGCAGTGTTTGTAAACAATGCGCAAGTAGTGTTGCCACCAGAAAGTAATGTAGGTGTTGCCAGTAAAAATAGAAATAACAGCTGAATCATTCATAGCTAACATAACAGAAATAAGCAGATGTCGACTTTGCAATAGCAGATTTCGACTTTGAAATAGCAGAAATAAGCAGATTTCAACTCTCGTGAACTTAAAACTGAAAATAATAAACAATTTCAAATAACATTGAAATTTTCTTTAAAATGAAACTTAAACTAAAAAAAAAAATAATCAGAAAAACCTCTTCATCTAATCGTCTAACTTAAAAATAAACAAGCAAAAAATTTAAGGCATAATTATTAATAAATATTAATAATAATGTTACATTGCAGGGATTGTTTATCTTCACTTATATTGATAAACATCAAATAAAAACTGGTTGACACATTAGCTAATTTTAAATGAAATTACCAATTGTAAACATACATCTATATAAAGTAATTCCATAATACTAATAATAATTACTTTTTGCTCTCACTGATAATAAAAGCCAAAAAAAGTGGGGGTGTAACATCAGACCTATTCTTAGTAAATGTTAAAATTCAATATCACTGAAACTCTTTATGCCAAAGTAAAAGAATAGGCCTGAATAAGGTCCTCTTAGTTAGTTCCCATTTATGCAATGATTTTCTATACAAATGCATCATTTCATTAATGGGAGCTTTAAACCCCTCCACCACGATAAGGTGGGACCTTTTTGGAGGGGCCCCCCACCTGAAATACATGAATATTAATCTACAATAAATTACAGAAAAAAACATAACTTAATAAACAAATCAAATACAAGGTCCGGCTATTAATTTCCAGGACTGACGTAACTGTAGGAGAACGAAAAGCCGGAAGATGGCGCTAACGATTGCATATTGAAGAGTGTTTTCTTGCGCAATCGGCACCATACTGAAGTGAGTGGTTCTCGTGGAAAGGCGCATTAAAACGTAGCTCTTAAATTCCTGTTAATTAAACGCTTTCAGGACAGCGTGGAAGATGACCCACACACAAGCATCCGAGCACAGACGTGCATTACGGCTGGTGGGGATTACTTCAAATAATATTAAATGGCTATGTGTTTAATTTTATTTTCTTCTGAGTTATTTAATGAGTCCTGGAAATTAATAGCCGGACCTTGTATTAATGGATGTTAAAAATTTTTTTAAAAATTCGTTGCGAATTAGGTAACTTCTCACCCGAATTATGGTAAACACTACTTCCTGTGACGGGTCAAAGCTGTTTGTCTCCTGTCATATCCAGGTGAAGGCTAATTCATATGGCTCCCGAAGAAGGCGCTTTTTTCTTACAGGCATCCTGAAGTACTGCTGGGTGAGGAGAAATCTGGAAGAAAACACAGATTGTAGAAAATGCTAAGGCTGTTCCCGCACACGATGAAGAGCAAGAGAAAGAAAGCTACCTACATTTGAACGAAAGTGCCGAGGTGATATCTCGGGTAACTGGGTAAGACTTCAAACGGGTGCTTCAGAACAAACTTTTTTCCACAATAGCAATTCTAACTTTGGAACATCCTCTCGCCACCTGGAACAGTGCTGCTGCTGGTTTGGTGCTTAACCTGGAAAAAAAAACATAGAGTAATGAGTAAACAGCAAAAGCAACTCTCATCCTCTCCTTAAGCGACAGACCGCTACTCACTTTGGCAGGTCGAGNAAAAAAAAACATACAGTAATGAGTAAACAGCAAAAGCAACTCTCATCCTCGCCTTAAGCGACAGACCGCTACTCACTTTGGCAGGTCGAGGAAGGCGCTTGTCTCCTACAGGCGTTCCGAAAACCAGATTCCTACGAGGTCGTGCTGACCTGAAGTACTGCTGGGTGAGGAGAAATCTGGAAGAAAACACAGATTGTAGAAAATGCTAAGGCTGTTCCCGCACACGATGAAGAGCAAGAGAAAGAAAGCTACTTACATTTGAACGAAAGTGCCGAGGTGATATCTCGGGTAACTGGGTAAGACTTTAGGCTAAAACTTTGAACAGATGCCTCAGAACTTCATATCGCCATTCACTTCATTCTTATTCATCAGTTGGCGCAATCACTTTTTCTTTTTTTTGAGGGATACAATTTACGCTGTGGACTTATTCTTTTCAACCCGGAAACCCTACTATCAGTCGACAATACTCTTCCCTCAGACCTTAATGCAGCTAGCCTGGCTTGAATTCGCTCACCTTGCTCAATCAATATGCTCAACTCGTCACGAGATGTGCTTGGATCAGCACACTTGGCAGCTAAATTAGAAAATATATTCTGAGCCTTGATTCTCAAATCATCAGAATTAGAATATTTTTTCAGATGCTTGTTTAATGCTTCCTTTTCTTCCTCAATCCTGCACTGCTTCTCTTCGAAATCAATTACAAAACTGTTGTCCTCTGAAGTAGATGCACTGTCGCTTGAAGGTACACTTGGTGGAAAGTTTATGTTTACCAAATGTATATGTTTACAGATTACAAATTTAACTTTATAATCAATGCAGGTACAGGAAAAACTGTGAATGCAGATATTACAGTCTGGACATTTAATATCACAGTTGCAAGCAGTTTCTTTTTGAACTGTGTATGTTTCTATACTATTGGTAGAAAGGCCTGCTCTACTAGATACAACATGCCATTCTGTTGTACTATGAACGTAAACATTTTGCTTGGGTAATTCTTTCGCAGCATCATGTCTGGCTCTAATTTGTGCATGCAGTGATGTCAACTTACTTCTTTCCATTGACATGAATCGACCTATAATTTTCCTGTTGATTGCGTTTAAAACAATTGAAATAGATTTGTCGAGGCGCTTTATAACCTTGCCATCAGCTTCTTCATACTTTATCTCTCTATGCCAGCGTTCAACCTTCATGTTTGTATTCACTCTGAGTCCAAGACGGTGGCAATAGGCCCAAACTTGAACACGACCCATGTAATATTTTTGGAAGTACAGTCCAAAGGCCACAGTATCATCATTCTTCAAGAGATTATCTACAAAAACTGTAATCCTCCTATCGAATTCTTTCTGATCAGTTTCAGAATGTAGAGAAAACAATTCTTCTCTCACACTTTCCCTGACATCTTCCTTTTTAATTTTTTGCACTAATTTCAACTTCCATGCACGCTTAACATGCCAGGTACAAAGAAGTTGATTTTCCACTTGAAAGAATTATACAATGCTGGATCATCATCTGACATGAAAACACGAGGCTTGAAATCTTCATACTTCATCTTTATTTCTTTAAAAAATGGTTCTAAAACATCCGCAGATACTCTTGAGGAGTAAAGAGTTGCAACAGGAAATCCTTCATGATTAGAATCATTAACCATAATAGTTGTTAATAAGTATCCTTGCTGATTAGTTCCATGAGTCGAATCAATCATGATGATGTCGTTACCATACATTTGTAATATTTTCAACTGAGCAGAGTTCATCATCCCAAGGTAGAAATCGTCTTTTTTCAAACAAGGATAACTGGAAAGCTCTTCTTCTTTTGGCTTGTAAATAAGCACTTGTCCTTCTTCCCTCAATTTATGCACATGCATCTGTACAGATACATTTTCATTTACGTCTAAAATTACATCCTCATCCACTCTAAAGTCTCGACAAATATTGTGCAAGTCTTTGTTGTTGGTGAGGCTAAGGCGCTTGGTTGGAGAAAAAGCCTGACGAATATCATACAATAGCCTTGATTTTGGCACGCCACTGCTCATTTGAGAAGCCAAGAGCACTTTCTGTTCTTTTGAAATTGGCACACGACCCACTTCACAACTGTGTCCAATATGAGAGGCTTGATAGAAAACTGTTATTATTGTTCCAGTATCAGTTTTCTGTTTCTTTACAGTCATATGGGCTGGGCAAGTAACGCCTATTTTATTAGAGCCTAAAGATTTGACTCGTCGACTTCTCTCTTTTTTCTCATCATATGCCCCGCTTCGATGACAGTAATATGAATTTGTTATGGATTCATCAGTAAGAGTTCTGTCACCACATTTCTTGATGTAGCTACTAAGGGTGCTGCTTTCTATTTCATTCTTCCATTTAAAAAAATCTTCTTCTTTGCTGAAGACAAGAGTTTGCTTCTCTAATCTAAAATCCTGATGGCGAACTTCTATGTGTTCAATAAGACACTTGATGAATCGGAAACCTTCATCACACAAACCACATTTTAATGAGGATTTGAATGCCTTTTTATCACTACTGTGCAGTTCTTCCCTGTGATTTGATAACTCAGTATCAAATTTAAAATAGAGTTTGCAGTGTGCACAAAAGTGCACAAATTTTTTCAAATCCGAAAGTTCCACATCTTGATGTGAATTTCGCAAATGTCTGTAGAAATTCTTTTTTTGAGAAAAACTTGTTTCGCAGAAACAACATGGTATTTGATCCATATTCACAACTTAAAAAAATTAAATAACTAACAATTTTATAAATAATTAAATTAAATAATTTCAATAAGTTTGAAACGTGCAACAAGTTACACAGAACGAATCAAACTAATTCATTGCATTCACTTCACTGCAAGTCGCTTAACTTTATTAAAAAATAATTGAAAGGGTTCGAGAGTATTTGTTTAAAAATAGCTTAAAGGTTACAAGCTTATTTCCTTTAATCCACAAATCAAAAACTTAAACTTCAACTTGCATGGCTTGCCAAGATTCCAACTCCAAAATTTGACGCCAAACTTTCATCGCCAAAAACCTTACAACAATAGGAGCCGTTTTCCAGTCGACTCTACATTGAGAAACTAGTAAACAAAAGTTATTGAAGCTAAGATTAGTAATAAGGAAGTCATCTGTTCTTTCAGCCTAGATGAAATGGCTATACGCCGTCATGTAGGATGGGACGGCAAGTCTTATTAGAGATTTATTGATTTGGGTACTGGAGTTGACAACGATCAACTTCCAGAAGCAAAAGAAGCTCTAGTCTTCGTGCTAAATTGCATAAATGGAAACTGCCTTTTGGGTATTTCCTAATTGATGGTCTGCCTGCAAAAGAGAGGGCAAATTTAGTTAGCCGTGGCTTGGAACTGGTACACACAACTGGTGATAGAGTGACGAATGTTACATTTGATGGTACTGCAGTTAATTTTGCGACCGCTAAATATTTAGGTGCAGATGTTGAGATGCACAATTTGAAGACCTATTTTCCTCATCACTCATCCTAAAACCAAAGAAAATGTATACATATACCCAGATCCTAGCCACATGCTAAAACTGATTAGGAATACACTTGGTTCCAACGGATCAATTTGGCATCCCTCTGGCCTTATATGTTGGAAGTATATAGTTAGATTGGAGCAGCTCCAAAATGAAGAGGGATTACAAGCTGCAACAAAACTAAAGAGAAGGCATGTTGAATTTTATCGAGAAAAAATGAAAGTTAGCCTTGCGGCACAAACGTTAAGCAATAGTGTTGCAGATGCTATTGAATTTCTTGATAAAAATGTAGAAATGCCAGAATTTGCTGATTCTGAAGCTACTGTTCAGTTCATCAGATTCTTCAATAATCTTTCGGATGTTCTGAACAGTAGAAACCTTCTAGCCAAGGGATTTAAGTCTCCTTTACGAAAAGAAAATGAATTTTCCAAGTTTTTAGAGGCAGAAATTTATATTGAAGAGTTAAAAACAGTTGCAAATGGGATGCCCATTTTTCAAAGTAGTAGGAAGACAGGCTTTCTGGGTTTCGTTATTTGTATCCATTCTTTGTTATCCATCTATAAAGATGTCACAAAAGTACCTAACTCCCCAAATGCAGTTCCTGCTAAGCTACAAATTATCACAAGATCATCTTGAGATGTTTTTCTCGGCAATTCGTAGCAAAGGTGGGTTTAACAATAACCCAACATCTAAGCAGTTTCAAGCTGATTACAAAAGGCTGTTCTCTTACCACCAGATTAGCAGCTTGAACAGTGATAACTGCTTAGCTTTGGACAATACTACAACTTTAACCGTATCTTCTGCACAAAATGCTTATTCAAATTTGATAAACGAAATTGCTACGTCAGAGGAAGATACTTAAAACAGTGACGTAGATGACATGCCCAATTCTCTACGACTGTCAATATATGTTACTAAAATAACAGAATACATAGCTGGTTTTGTTTCTAAAAAAATTGGTTAAAAACTTCATTGTCATCCTTGTCAATCAGCACTAGTTGACACTGATGGAAATAGAAATGGGCTAACTTATCCTGTTAGGGGATGTGTCAAAAATTTGTAGGCTTGCCGAAAAATATTTCAGAATGGTGCAAGCAACTGGCAAACTACAGAAAAAAATATATATATAGCATCGATAGTATAGGAACGAAATCGATTAAAAAATTTTTTCAGTCTGAAAAAACCATGACTGAGGAGGAGCCGTCACAGTCGCCGTCTGAAAAAGCCGTCACAGTTGATAACGAGGCACAGTGTATTAAAAATGCTACGGAACCTGTAATTGAAGAGCAAAACAATTTAAGTTTTGTTACTGAAAAAAACGATGCTGTTCCTGAGATAGAGGAAAATATCGAACTCGAAAGCGAAGTCAATTTCATCGCCGAAGAAATTTTACTTACTGACTGCGACATCAGGTCACAAGTTTAATTTAATTTTGTTATAGCTTTGTTAATTCCTGATACGAATCCTTATTTACTGATCTAATTCTTCTAGCCCCTTAATCTGCAGTGCAATGGGGACTTTCTCCCCCTGACTTCCCGTTCACATTCTTTCAGCCCTACCCTTTTTTCTTAGAAAGACACCTGTTTGCCGGTATCTTTGATGTCAGCGTGTCTTACAAAATCTGAGATGTGTTCCTTAACCGTAACGCTGGTAAAATAATTGTGATAACATCTCAACTTTTTGAAAATAAGTAATTTGACTTGTAATAGAAATAAGTAATAGACCATTCACTAGGCGTACAATACCTGTTTTTGGAATGACTTGTTCTTTGTGAATTATTTCACTTCAATTCGTCATGACCAAGCAAAAATTGGAATATTTCCTTAGCAACTTCATGGTAACGTTTTGGAGTCCTCAAAATTTGTCGCGTTGGCAACAAGTTTTAAAAGCGCCACCTATAATCATTTCCTGTATTTGATATTTACCATAATTTTTTGGATGATAACGTTAGTTCAGAAAATAAAATAAGTTTCGATTTGCTCTGAATTTTTTAACTGAACAATGGACGTACTGGTAAGAAAGATATCGCCATTACGAGCGTCATTTACAAAAGTTTATAATTAGTGATTATTTTAGAGAAAGAAACAATTACAACTTAAAATTGCATCATGAGAAAGGATTGGATTGAATGTAGGGTTTAATGGAATCAGAATCCAGCGTCAGCAGAAGTCTATGCTTGAGAGAAAAGTACAGATCGAGCGTTTCCGAAGGGGACGTTTTCAAATTCAATGCTACAAATGCCAAAAATATGGACATACCCAGCGTAGCTGCACAGCACATCCCGCCTGCCTAAAGTGTGCTAACGCTCATTACTCGAACGAATGTGCGAAACCTATCTCAGAACCGGCGAACTGCAACGGTGAGCACCCCGCTTGTTTTTCGGGCTGTGGTGCAAGACCCGGGAAAGTGCCAAATGAAAAAAGACTCTCCTCAAGAAAATAACTGATTCTGCTAGTCGTTTTTTTTAAGACTTTTTACTGAGATGAAAGAACTCTTAAAATATGAAGAGCTTGTTAATCTGCTTCTTCTACCAGAGACTTAGATAATCGATTAATTATGACTAATTAATTTAGCCACAGAAGAAATAATATCTTTCGAATTCGGATTCACCGGCGTCACTAAGGTCTTCTGTTCAAGAAGAAAATAGGAGCAATTCTACAAATAAACGCCTAGGCGGCAAAAAAAAAATGGGGGGGGGAAGCTATTTCTACATGAATTTTCTTCTTTTTTACACCCTAAATAAGAAAGAAAAAATCGTGAACATTAAGTTTTTTCTTTGTGACATACTTTAAATGACAAAATAGCAATTTCAAATTTTTCCCGATTTTTTCAATTTACGAACTTTGATTAAATTGTTTTATATTTGTTTTTCATACTAAAATATAATCTTATAGTACGCAATTTCAATAAATACAATTTAGAGAGACATTATAATAATATTATATTTATATAAAAATCGTTTTATCTGAATAAATGGCTCAGATAAAAGCCTCATTTCAAAAACGAAATTTATGACACATTTTTTACCTCTAAGTAATTAATATGTTTGTTGTTGTCTTTGATGGCTATAGAGGACATAATTTAAACCCTCTGCACGCCACTAGCTAATTTAATATGTTTTTAATTTTCTTTTAAATAAGCTTCATTTTTATTGATTGTGTTATCATTTTAATTATTTTTTGTCAATTATTTAATGTTTATATTTTAATTATTGTTAACATTATAATTGTCGCTGGAAAATTTTTTTTTAGGATACTGTCAATGGATAAGATAAAATCTAAATCAAAACGAAGAAATTGAGAGTTCAAAGCGAATATGAGAGAAAAAAAAGAAAATTGCAGAAAAGACTAGATCGCAAATGTATTACGTAAATAAATATAAAAAAAACCCACCGAAAGAAGGTAAAGACATTTTTGTTTACAAATGTTTTTATTTAACTTCATTTTGTTAAATATAAATGTAATAATTATTTTTATTTTTTTTAAAAGAAATCCACTTTTACCTGAAACAAATATAAATATTTGTGACGTTGTTGTTTCACAAGAAGTAAACAACACGCAGCATCAAAAAATGCTTGAATCTGAAAAGAATCATCTAAGAGAAAAACATTTTTCAAGATCCATGGAGATGAAGTTTCGAAGAAAAATATGCTCATTAGAAGAACAACTTCAAGAACAAGAAAAAAAAGGACTAATTTTTGGAAAAATAATATAGTAATTCACAGCGTAAATTTTTGAATATGAGACGAATCTTTTTCGACGTGTATAAAAGTATAAAGCATCAAATTTCTCAAGTTCAAATCAAACATGAAAAAGAATTACTTGCATCTGTACTTTCAAATCGTTTGTCTAATAAAAGTCGTGCTGTAGATAAAAACCTAAGTCTTTATAATCACCATTATTCTAAAAAATTTAAGAATGAATCGTTTGAATCAGTCGAGGCGGTTGTAAAAATGCAAAGTGAAAGGAGACGTAATTTAATGTGACTAATTTTTATTTACGAGATGAAAATTCTTCATTAGCTCCCGGCGCTAAAGACAAAAAATAAAATTATTACAAAAAATAAATTGAAAATGCGACGACGTTACTTGGCTGATACCATTGGTAATTTATATAAAAAATATTGTTATGAATCGAAAAATACAATTTCTAGAGCACTGTTCATCAAACTTCGACCGTTTTATGTAATGAACCACAAAATTACCGCTCGTGAAACTTGTTTATGGAAAGAACATGAAATTTTAAACTTATGTTCGAAAAATTAGGCTTCCATGAAATTGTAAAAGTTGTGAATGTAAAAGAATTTATAGAATCTATTTGTTGCGATGATACTAGCAATAAGTGTATATTTAAAGAATGTGATAAATTTGCTAATTCTGAATTACCAAATATAACATTCGAAACTATGACATGGTATTCTATTCATGGGAATGCGAAAAAATAACTCGAAAAGGAGCAAAATATTTAATATATAACGTTAAAGTGACATTTAAGAAAAAAATAAGCTGCACCATTACCGATTTGATAAAAAAAATTTCAATGAAAATATACCTTAATTTTTGATTCATGCGTATAGAACTTCACACCAATTTACAATTTTAGAAAAGTTAAAAGACAATTTGCAAAAAAATTATGCTCTTCTTGTTGATTTTTCGCAAAATTATAATTGTAAATATGATAAAGAGGTTCAAAGTGTCCATTTTGGTGCGTCAAAAAACAAATTTCTTTACAAACCGGTGGTCGTGATCACTTTCCTCTCATTTTATCATATTCTGCTACAGTTCCTATGAGTACAAAACCATCAGTATTCATATATTATAGCGCTGACTGGCACTTATTCACTTAACTTGCTCAGATAAATAATACAATGGTTACTTGATGTCGATATAAATACTGCTGTTAATACTGTGACCTCTGTGATTATCCGCGCTGCAGAAGATAGTATCCCAGAGACGTCTAGCTATGTTCCCGTCTACGTAAGCCTTGGTGGAATTCTGAATG